GATAAAAATAATAAACTAGAAATTTATTAAGCATTATTTATGTTTGCAAAAAGGAATATTCAATGTGCTGACTGGACCTTTAGAATGGATGGTTCAGTCAATTCTACTAAAATATGTAAACTCTGAACTCTTCTTATGAGCAAAATTTAAATAAAACAAAAATTCCAACAGTCGCCTTCGTAGACCGATTTGAAGTACTTCTGAATGTTCAAACATACATACATACATATTTATATATGTATGCTTGAACTAGGTATGTATTGAAACATGTTTATATTTAAAATAAAATTTAAATAAAAATAAATGTACAAGAATCCATTTAAAACCCCTATAAAGCCATATACTCATTAAAAATTTGCTTTGCTAAATGTCCATATAAACATACATACTTAATACACTCCCAGTCATTTGAATAGCACACCCTTTTGGTCCTCAGTATGTTCACTTTTCCTGTTGTTTGTTTAATATTCATAAATTTTTTATAAAAATGTAGCATATTTTAAGTGTAAATTCGATTTAAAAATTGTATACAAATTTAAAGAATATGTCAACAAAGGGGCGTGCTATCCTAATGACCTGCAGTGCATGACTTAATGGTATTCTTAGAAAATTGCCGGGTATATAGTCGGGTCCAACGTTTGATGGTGGCGAATAAAGATGCCGTTGTTGTGCTATGTATTTTGCGGTATCAATTTTGGTGATCTGCATAATCATTGTGACCGTAGTATCTGTATTTTATCAATATTGCAGCAGCGAGATGTTGCCCAAAGGCAGATTCCATACGACCAGCATTTAAACTGATTGGCCTGTATGAACATACTACTGCCGGATATTTAAGCTCAAACAGTCAACGACGTAACGTAGACGTAGGTTGACGCAGACACGATTTACCTTATGGGATTCGCGTGTTAACGAAAACTCACCACCGCATGGCGGTGACGGTGCCGTTGCTTCTCTCTCTCTCTATCAACAGTAAATTTGATATGCTGCTACGTACGTCAACCTACGTTTACGCTACGTCGTTGACTAACTGCGCTTTTTACCTGGCTTACGTACCATACATGATTCAGATGTTCGGGAAATATCCTATACGAAGCATACTGTTATGTGTATATCTTTAGGAAGTATCCTGTTGCAATTTGAGGCAGTTTTTTATGGTTTCATCAGTGTCATAACCAGGAGCTTTATTAGTTTGAATATCATTCGCTATAGTATTTTTCAAACCGTTGAGCTTGAATCGAAGGGAATTAGTCGTTGGGTTAATAATACACTGAGGGAAAAAAATATTAAAATCAAATAGAAACGTAATTGATCTTACTATAAACGTCAACGAAAGTACTGTATATTGGTAAATATTCAATTTAATTATGCGCATATTAAAATGACCGCGTTCGTTCTGAAAGAGCATCCGTGAAGTTAATAATCAAGGTAAAAACTAAAAAAAACAAAATATTTAATTTGCACTTTGCCTGCAGTGGTATTCAAACCCTGACCTTTTTTTTCTTCTGGGTATCAGCCAGACATATAAATTTACTTTCAAATGTTGAATTTCCATCAAGACTACAGCACGATTTGTACGGACCCCTCTGCCCCTGCAAAAATCGCGACTACTCCGCGCATGCGTGTAAAGAGTACTCCCTAAGGACCAAGGAGTACTCCAAAATTAGCCACAATTCATATAAAAATATGGTCCAATTAACATTGCGATGTCCATATACTCCATCCCTGCATTCTATCAGAGTAGCACAAAACTACTCCAACATATTAACAATGGCATTGTAGTTATATTTTTTCGTTTGTACACGCTTTCGTTCTTCACTTCTCAGATGCTTTTTCGAAATTAATAAAAACCAAAAACAAAAATTAAAAATTACATGTTGCCTCAGACAGCATTCGAACCCGAACATGCTGGGAGCTAACAACTAACAGCGAGCATCTCTACACACTCAGCTACAGCCAGACATGCAAATGTGCTTTCAAACGCTCAATTTCAATCACATTTCGTTAAAACACGGGCAGTGATCGGGTAACAAACAATAAGATGGCGCAGAGACACGAGTTGGTCCGCTACAGCATGACAGAGGAACACTTTTGTAAGTCCTCCAATATACGACAAATAGACTACATGGTCCAACGATTTTTGCAGGGTTATTCATGCCCTGTTTTATTTGTTTAAACAAAATATTATAACTTTTATTTGGGTATATTGTAAACCATTAATTCGAGTACGTACTCAATTATACTAGACCTGTTAAATAATAGGGGTCTTTCCTTAAACTCGTAAAAGCCTCGTAAACCTCGTAAAGATCTGTCAAAATTTGTATGAAGCTCTATTTACGAGTCCCTCGTAAAATTACGTGGCAAATTTGATTCGCAAATGACCTCGTAAACTTCAGTATTGCCGAGGAGCGGAAAATTATATACTAAAATGTATTTTATAATATTGAAAAAAGAAAATGGAAAATAATAATATGTGAATAAAAAGAAGTGCAGAACGCAATCTTACTCCAACGAAAAAAATCTCCAAAATTGGACTAGTCCAGGACTATCTTACGGTCAGTGTTGATTGGACCGGTCCTTTTCCAATGACACGCCAATGCTCAAAAAAGCAGTTGAAACCATTGGCAGGGGAATTATGAGGGACTAGTGCTGGTAACAATAGAGACTATCTGAGGGCTAAACTAGGGTGAATCTGAATTGCTGCAGGGTAACTACTCTTACAAAAGGGCCATTCCATTGTGACTGGTGGGACATTTTACTCCAGAATGTGATCAATTGTGAATTTTAGCTATGTCGTCGGAACTTATACAACTGCGAAAGATATTTTTTAACATAGAACGATATAATGTATAAAATTGCTTTAACAAAAATATCAAACGATTTCTCAGTTTTTTGTAACTATCATTTGAATTAATGTGACTGGTGGGACAATGAAAAGAACTCTATTTTACCCTTGTGAATTATGTGAATTAATTTTTGCATTTCAAAAGAATGCTAATAATTATACATACATATATAACTATATGTACATTTATTAAAAACAACAAACTCAAAACAAAAAAATCGATTTTTCAAGAGACGACTTACCAGTTGTTTGACATCATAAATATCGCAAGCTTTGTGTGAAAAGTTGATAAGTCTACATTTTATGTAGCCTCAAATTTTGATATAGAGAGTAAGAGAAATTAAGGATTAAGGTACTTGTTTTATTTTTTCTCGTTTATATTCAATAAAAGATAAATTTTATAAGTCAAAAGAGGCCCCGAATATGCAATAAGGCCAAAATAATACGAAATTTTTTAACAGAGAAATTCTTATTTGTATGGAGTTTTGCTTTACTTTAAACACGCAAAATGCTGTATTCAAAGTTCCTGTAAAATTTGTAAAATTGGACTTATCAACTTTTCACTTTAAGCCAGCGACATGTTAAATATAAATATGGAAACATAGATTCCTTTTTATTAAACTTTGAGTTACTAATATTATACATATATTTTTTTTTAAATTACGTAAGAAAATGTTTGTACATAAAAAGATGCAGCAGTTTGTTTGAATTGATTTAGAACGGGAACATATCTTTTTGTCAAAAGGCTGCGAAACGCTTTCAAATAAAACATTTGCCTATTTGAAACTTTGAGGCGTTTAAAGCAAGTGAAGCAAAGCAGCCATTTGGCCACCCTTCATACTGAGCCCTAACCGCCAAAATAACGTAAGCGACATTTTTTTCAAAATTTTCTTTTTGATGCAGAAATGTATCTAGATGCTCTAGGAATATTTCTGCATCAAAAAGAAAATTTTGAAAAAAATGTCGCTTACGTTATTTTGGCGGTTAGGGCTCGATACGTTTTAGTATATTCCAAATAACTTTTGACAGTTCTCAAAGCGAAGCAAGCAAAGCAAGCCTGCATTAGGCCAGCGCCTTAACAATTACATCCAAAAACTTTAAACTTTTTGTTCAAAATTTTTAGAAAAACTCCAGGTACACAGTTTTTTTGTTAATTTAATTTGAGTAGGTAAAAGTGAAAATTTCAAGAAGCTCGGAAATCGCGCTGATTTTTTTGCGGACGCCGCTAGCATTTTCTTCTATATAAAAGGCACTATCCTCAGATAAAACGTGAGTGAATTGAACGCCACTTGGCTTCTTATATTTTTTAATAACTAATGGACCCCACTATTTTTTTAATTTTTTGTAAGTGCCTTGAGATCTGCACGATTCGTTCCATTTTCAAAAATGTGGCACTTCATTAAAAAGCTTGACCTGTGCACAGTGTAGACATTGTGCCAAGTAATGCCAATATCCATATTTGACAATTCATACGTGAACTGATGTGTTTGTGTTAGTTTCATATTTAAATTAACCCTCACGTAACACATGTTAAAAGGAATACATTTTTTTGCAAAACCGCATATGGCATTCTGACTCCTTAATAATTAAACCTAGCAGAGCATTTTGCTAACCAAGCCATAGTAAAAATACTAATCATTTTGAAGTTAATTTTGTACATTCTTTACATTTCCAAATGGATAGATGGAGTTCTGGTATTTGCTTTGACGGAACTGATTCCGTATGCAATCGCTTAGGCTCTTACTAGAAAGGTCGGAGGTTTTAAAATGATTATCACCAGGGAACGGATTTTATGGAAATTGCCTTTTTTTCTGCTAAAGAGATAGAGTATGTTCGATTAAGAATGTACACGATTTAGCTTTCCCAGATTCCGTATATACACATGAAGTTGCCTTTTTTGCCTTTTTTAAGATATTTGCCTTTTTTGCGTTTTCTACCTTTAAAAAAGTGATTATAGCATTTACAATTTTTTTTTTTAAGATTAAAAAATATACACATGCCCATACTGTCTTCAGGTATATAACTTGAGAATAGAAATCGCTGCATCTTTTAGGAATGACGCTAAATTTTCGATACGATTCGACTGTCGAAAAACGACTTGCATTCGGCACGACTCTCGCAATGAGGCTGATTTTTTTATTTTTTTGTCAGTGCCTTGAGATCTGCACGATTCGTTCCATTTTCAAAAATGTGGCACTTCATTAAAAAGCTTGACCTGTGCACAGTGTAGACAGTGTGCCAAGTAATGCCAATATCCATATTTGACAATTCATACGTGAACTGATGTGTTTGTGTTAGTTTTTTATTTAAATTAACCCTCACGTAACACATGTTAAAAAAAAAACACATTTTTTGCAAAACCGCATATGGCATTCTGACTCCTTAATAAATAAACCTAGCAGAGCTTTTTGCTAACCAAGCCATAGTAAAAATACACATCTTTTTGAAGTTAATTTTGTACATCGGTCGGACTCTAATTGTTAGTGTACGGGATCAGTATGACAAACGGAACACAAACTTTTCGTACTTGTTGTGGAAATGGGTAATGGTCGGTTTGTTTTCGTACTGTTTTTAAACCACGTATATTTTGAGGAATTTCACAGAAACAATTGTTTTTGATATTTAGTATTTTTATAATTCTTGCTATCATGAAAATAATCCAAAGTAATATTTCTGTAACGCATTAATCTATGTTTCTAAAAGGCATATTTATTTGTTAAAATTTATATTAAAATGGCTCTGCCAAGACTATAAAAAATTATATTATTGGACAGTTGTCCGACAAGATGATAGTACATAGTCTTAAATTGTTAATATGCAGTTAATAATTCTATGTAGTAAAATATAAATTTTGTAATCAGAAAAACTAAAAGGCGGTAAAAAATGTTAAACTAGGTTTATGTCTGCGTCCTTAAATCCAATTCAGACAAAATTCTTTACGTATTAATAATTAATAACTTACTTCAACTCATTAAATACATTGATTTAAGATATGAAATATGCATATATGTACATCCAAAAATGACTGAAGTATCTGCTATTTAAAACACGTAACTTGACAATGTCCAGAAATAAATAGATATGATCTATTCAATTAATATTTACTTTTTTTGAGATTCACTCAACATACAAATGTGTGTTTTATTAAACATTAGAGCGCAACTTATACTAGTTTCTGTTTTGATTTAAATTATTCATTGCTGTAATTTATTTCATTAAAAATAAAATTTCATACGTTACACGAAGCGGTAAAAGTTGCAGTCAGAAACAAAAGAGGATCACTAAAATAAAATTTAAATTTAATTTTAAATGAGTATACATTCAGCGTTTTTTTTTTCTAATCAAACACTTTTTAAATAAAGTACTTTACAGTTGTTTATATAATTTACTCGTTCAAACATCATCCCAATAGTACTTCACATTATCACGTTCACGTGGCACATAGAAAGCCGCACAAGTACTTTCCCAAACCTCTTTCGGATACTCCCACTCCGAGCTAAAAGTCCATTGCTTGGTATCCAAGTCGTAACACTGCACTGATGAGGTGGCGCGATTTATAGTTGCCGTCGAAAGCAACCCGCCAATAAAGTAAACTTTTCTTTTGACCGCAGCGACGCCGGTATAATACTTTGGCAAAGGATTGCGCGATTCAGTCACCCACTGATCAGTGATGGTATCATATACGTCCACGGCATCGGCTAAAACGCGCATTTCGGTCACAGGGTCCTCGTACCAACCACCGAAAGCATAAATCCGACCGTCAATGACAATGAGTACATGATCGGCGCGTGGTGTCGGCATCGGACACAGTTTTTGCCAATTGTTTGATTTCGTGTCAAATCTCCACAGCGTTGCAAGGACAATGTGTCGGTCGATTCCACCTGCAAGGAGCATACATTCGATTTTTCTCACATTAACATCTCGCAAGCTTGACA